ATATGGATATTTATTAAATGAGGTTTCTACTCATATGATTTTATGATTATTTGCATATTTGTGTAACAAAACTTTACACCAATGATTTATAAATTACGTTATGATTATTTGAATTTAAGTATTTTCCATTTTACATATACACTTCCATAAATTAAAAGGAATGAAGTTATTATAGTTAATATATGCAAATCGTTATCAACTCGTATATTTTCCTTTTCTTCCATTACATGTGTGCGATATATATAAATATATAAACTATGTTACATGCGTTATATGCGTCTCTAATTATTTTTCCCTAGCAAATTTCAATTGAACCTAAAGCCGCCACGTCAATTTAATTGATATGCTAATTGATTGACAACTAAGCAAGGTTACTTTTTAATTAATACAAACTTGAGGTTATATCTTTTCAAATGTTTCTCAATTAATATATAGGGGATTTCTGAGTAGATTTTAAGATCCATCATACCATAACTTCAAATTAGTGATGGGTTTTGGTAGCATAAAAAACTGAAAATGCATATTAGAAATGGTTTGATACTTGGGATCTGATTGAACACAAATTGACTAACTATTATTTTCTATCAAAACACAAATTGAACACGCAATGGCCGACTCCCGTCTGTTGGCTAGAACAACCAAAGTCCTCTTAGTGATGGACATGTGTTACGTATAAGATAGTTTATATGCGAGATTAGTCGTTTGTCTTTCTTTAATACTACAGATCAGACGACTTATTAGCTAAATGTATACAAGTCATTCATACAAAGCTCTATGAATTAAATTATATATATTTGAGTATTCATCAAGTAAAACTGAATCAGTTTAAATAAAAATGCATAACATCTTTTCATTAAACTAACTCTTTCCTTTTGTAAAATATGTCTTTATAATTGTAAAATAACTGATGAGACCACACAGCAAAAAACACTGTTATCTTATTTCAGTCAAAAAAAAAACAAGAAAAAAGTTGGAACGTAATTCATTTACATGGGTCGTCTCGAACCATGCCAACTGGTTATCGTTGGACTAAAATAAGAGAAAACTATCAATAAAGACGACTTTGGCGTCAGAGAAAATCAAAAAGAAAAAACATAGACTGGCATCACATCATGTAAACCTTGATACGTTCCATAATCATTAGCATTGACAAAACTGAAAACCCCAATTGCTTTGAAAATTATTAGCAAAAATATTTCTCAAGATTGAGATCCATCACACAATAACTTCAATTTAGTGATGGTTTTTGGTAGCATAAAGAACTGAAAATTCTATATTAAAAAATTGTTTGATACCTGGGATCTGATTAACTATTATCTTTTTCTTTAACTAAGTACTAGGTCTTTTATCCTGTGACATAATTCTTGTAAAGATATTTATTAATAAATGTTATTGCTTATATACCTTTTTAATATGTTAATACTAAAATAAATTTAATAATTTTGAAAATATTCCAGACATATTACGTTTACAAACAAATATAAATTAAATTTATATTAATTTTTATAAAACAAATAAATCTAATTATTATATGTGTATATATACTATTAATTAGAAATTTTTTTAAAAAAATAAAGAAAGATGTAGATAAACACAAAATAAATTCGTGGAATTATCTTTTATTTTTTTCAAATTAACATGTGTTCCATTTAATCTTTTGAGATAATTTTAATAGTAATAATCTGTAATCAGTTAAATAATTAATTATATAATTATTCATTAAAGATACCAAAACTTTTTTCAATCAATTAAATTGTATATTAAAACTAATTACTTAGCATAAATCATGGATAACAAGATAAATAAGCAAATTCACATCTCAAATTATTTACTCAAAATATAATTCTCATAAAATGCAATTTTCAATTTTCTAATTCATCACAAGGTAATGTATAAATCTCAACAAGTTTGTCCTGAGCAAGGAGCCAATGACTAAGTTAGGCTCTTCCAAATACTTTGAACACTAGTAATCGAGATGGCATGAAAAAGACCGATAACTTTTCTAAACCGGATCGGATACTCATTCACCTAATTAATACAATTATTACTTTTTTGGTTTTGCTAAATACTCTATGTTGAAAACCCCTCCAATAGAGATGGAGATGCTCTTACTTCCAACTTTTTCTAATCACACACTTTTATTGTGTATTGTTCCCCAAATATACGAGTGCAAATTAAACAAACCACACTCTCTCTCTATATAGCAAAGAAATAAAAATCAAAGAGAGTAATCAATTTTGGTAAGGATAAATAAAAGAGAAACAACCAAAGCTGAGTCGGGTGTTTACAAAGATGCGTCTCTTATTTTATGCCTCATGTTATCATGTCTGTCCAACCTCTCCCCCATACGTGCCAAGTAACCAACATTACCTTACAGTTTCATCTCCGCACACTTTACATTAATGTTCTTCCGTGTTGCACCCATTCAGCGAATTCCCTTGAGAATCCTTCTGGTGGATTCTGATCTTTAGCAAACTATAAAGATGGGAAAACCCCGACCGGGTCAGTGTCTTTGTTTACCAAAACAAAGTAAACTTGAATAAACAAGATAAATAACAAATCAAAGTTATATGGTGATGAAGGAAAATACCTCCTCCGCCCAAGTTGCAGAAGTGAACGATTCGCCGCCGAACATGTTATCTGACGCTGTGGAGCTGCAAGAAACATTTAGATTATTAATTCACCAGTCTTGTATCTTAAAACAAGGCCAATGTCTGAATATTATAATTGGGTTTCCAAAGTGTATATTCTTATGACAGGATTACTATATATCAGAATGTTATCTAGTAAGGGATGGAATAATAATATTTACCTGCAACGTTCAAACATTTCCTCTGCCGCAATGAATGTAGCATCGTATGAGTGTGAAAAACCAGCTAAATCATCGGTTGCGCTAGAATAAGACGTAGAGCCAACTTCTAGAAACATCTGTCTTAATCCTGTTCCTCTAAAATGATCTTCAGCGGCTCTGGAGATGTTATCAACGAGGAAGAAGAATCAGAAAGTTAAGTTGCAAAAAAAAAAAAAAAACAGAAAATTAGTAACAATGAATGCTTGCAACAAGTAAAAGAGACCCTGATGAACCCACCTTGAAGAAGATGGTTCTCCTTCATCGAATCCAACTTCTGAATTGGTTTCCCAGTCACTGTTTAACCCTTTACGTGAAGGCTGAGGATTTTCGAGTAACAGCTCCCTCTGATGAAAACCCTCCAAGAGGAGGTTATCGGAATAGGATCTCGAAAGTTTTGGCCTGCAGTTCATATTGTGATATTTTTAGTATTTGAAAGAGTTTCCTTAGACATGATTAACCCGGGGTTTTTAAGATGAGATTCTTAACGGAAGTTAAGAAACTGTTTCTTAACTTTTAACTAAAAAAGTTAAGAGCAGGTTCTTAAAATCCTTATTTAAGAAACAATTCTTAGTTTTTTTAGTTAAAAGTTAAAAAACAGTTTCTTAACTTCAGCTAAGAATCACACCCTAAAAACTCCGGGTTAATCATGCTCTTAGACTGTTGGTTTAGTCAACAAAATTAGGTACCACATGGTTTTGCTATAATTAAGGTTAGAACTATTTCTAGTGTGGCGCTGGTCAGAACACAACTTCCACAGGGGTGGCTTCCCTAACTCAGGCCTGAATTCTCCCAAGAACCTGTCAAAGGAAATAGTCTTTAGACTTAATAAACACAGTAATTTTAAAAACAAATAATTAGATGAAAAGTTTCTAAAATGAAGCTTACACATCGATGGCGTTCTGCTTTTCACTGTCCTTGAAAGTGTTGCACACGTGACGACGGAAAGCTATCATCTTATCACGCTGCTTCGCTATCATGTTCCAGTCACCTCTCAGAGAACTGAACATCTGTTACACCATAATTTTTTTTTTCAGAATTCAACTATTAATCTCAAGGCTAGAAGAAAAAAGTGTGGGAAAACAAATCACCTTGATGTGTGCGTCCGAGCCAGCATACTGCATTGAGATAGCATCACCCATTTTTTCGTAAGCGTCCATCAATTTCTTTGTCAAGGGATTGTTCATATCGATGATAGGAGGTCCTGTGATACCCATTCTATGCAGCTGATCATCAAGAGCGACCAATCCGTAGGCGTACTGAGAAAAATTAGTACGATCCAAGCAGTCTATGCAGTTTGACCGGAAAACCCCATTTTGAAGAAAATATATATCTGCTTTCAAAGCTTCTTCTTCTTCTGAACTAGTTGCCTCTTCATTTTGATCTAGAATAGCGTTACTAGAACATGGTAGCATTATTATTAGGAATTGCCAACAAACGTGCAATACATTCATGATTATGGATTAGATACAAGCATGTTAATTACATGAAGTCCATTCAAAGGACATATATTATATTATACCAAACTTACTTGAATAATGAGTCGTTAATTACACTCTCAGCTCCTATGCCTGAAGGAGCTTCACCGAAAAATAAGTTCATTAATTTCAATGCTCTCTTTCCATAGTCACACAAGTGCTCGAATACACCATCAACTCCACTGCAAAAATTCATCGAAAATCGGGTAAATTTTTTTAGGAGGTAAGACTTATGAAAACAACGCACCAACTTATGCTTAATAGGTGCATAAATTCAGTAGCACCTTTGGTAGTGTTCGTTTAGATCAAAATGGATTGCCAGTAAAAAGTACTCTTTCATGGTTCCATTGATAAACGAGATTGCCTTTCTAAACTCTTCCCCTAAGATGTTTTCTCGATGCTGTCCTGTCTTATATCACAAATAGCAAAGAAACACACTCAATCTTCCATAAATTAAACGCAATGAATAAAACTTGACTTGTCCTCGATGCCCACTTTTATAAGATTCATGATGATTATCATCTTTCCATATCTCTGTTTTAGATTCTCAAAATGGAGTTGAGTAGCCATGTAATTCGGGTCCTTGTTGTTCACTGTGACCGGTAAAAGAGAAACATAAGCGTTAAAATAAAGTCAGAAACTAAGAATCATATTAAATATCCCAATCTTCTACTTTTGAGCTAACTTTTGGAAGTGCCTTAGGATCATAGTATATCTAGCTTACATATTATTTTGGGTTGTGGTTTGAACGTAGATGGTTCCTGTGACCAAAATAGAGGTATGGAGCCTCGCATCTGCACAACTGATGTCATTGGGATTTTCTGACCCTCTGGAACCTCTTTTGTAACAATCTGCTCTGTCTCAACCTCATTGGCTACGCTGCCTTCTTCATTTACACCACGCTTTAAATATCTGCACATTAACAGATAGAGAATGCAATGATTGTTCTAGTTCACAAAGCACATATCAAGACTAACCCCTATTATTTAAAGAGTTACTCGTCCATGAGACAAAAGTAGAGATCAAATAAAGGAAGAACCTATAGGGTATCAAGATGTAGAAATACCTTGTACCAGCATAACGGCGCGAACGCCGAGCAATGAGAGTCAATATAAATTCTTCACCAGATACTAAACATTTAGTCTGCATAAACCCAAAGGAACCGTAAATATCAGGTCTTCTTGAGTTATAAAAGTTTTGGGAAGTTTCTAGAATAAACCATTCATATAAGCATATGCATATTCAACGTTACCTGTTGAAAGAATCCGTATATGAGTGCAACTGTCCATACGGTATTGTCGAGGATCCTTCTTGTCCCACGAGTTAAAAACTTGTTCCACACAAACATGTTGTCGTCGTGAATATTTCCTCTCTCAGTGTTGCATATATTCTTTTGGAGGCTATACATGAGGTGATATGTGTAGCTGAAGTAGAAGTTTTTGCTAAGATCCACCATGCTTAGGAGCTTCTTGTACCTGTAATACAAAGGGGGAATATTAAGGATGAAGTCTCATATCAGAAACTTGAAAGGATTTTAAATAAGATGAGTCAATTCACTTATCACCAACTCATTTTAGGTTAGAAGTTCATCTAACTTAATAAGCAACATGTTCGGATATGTGTTCAGCTAAGTTAGTTTACATGAGTGTATTTTTGCATATGGATAACATAAACCGTTACAAGAATTGTAGATTAAATACTTTTGCTCGTCTCTAGAATCAGCATCTATCGTCTCTCTGGGAGGAAATGGAATCATGATCATTTGACTCTCTGCTACACCATAAACAGTATGGCCACAGATCTCTCCCACTTTCTTTCTTTTTTTAATCACCAGCATGTAATAAGGCCCCAAGAATTTCACAAACCCTGCACCAAGAGAATCTCCATAAGTTCAAAACAACACACAAACACTGAGAAAAAGAAAGAAAGTCAATGCTAGGAGACAAAGTCCATCACTACCAATGATTCCATAGCAAGTTGTCTTTGTTCTAAGGCCACCATACTTCTCGTTCCCTCGACTAATCCATTTTTTAAGCTGAACGATTTGTTCATGTGTATAACTTGTAGGATCTTCAAATAAATTCAACTCGTTTGGATCGGTTCGATCAATCTTAAGAATCCTCCAAAAGGTTTTCTTCTGGTCTCTCCCAATCAAGTAAAAACTCTGCACAAACAACCAATCTATTCACATCTTTTATATTATTACAGAATAACTTACCAAGTAAAGACTCTACGTTTATTTCAAGCTAATGTCTCATGCCTTAAACCACAAACCATATGCAACCAAAAATTCTCATCAAAACATAAACCGAACCATGTCACAGAATTTGAATGCAAACCGGAATAATTGTATTAACGCAGTCATTGGTAAATCAGTTGAGGGTAAAATGATCACATAGCCATTTAGTAATATTCACATAACCAAGAGAAGGTGGAAGAGATTTTTACCGTTAGAGTGCGGTAGAGCGTGAACTTGTGAAGAACGGGCAAGTCAACCAGTTTGAGCCTCGGCTCCGATCCCATCCGACCAGACCAGACAAGATAAATAAAGCGTCAAGAACAAGAAGTCAAATTGATTTTCTCAGAAGAAACTCAAAATTGTGCGAAGTAAATAACGAAGAAGAAGACTATTGGATGAAGAAGATAGAAGAGTTGAGTCGTCGAGGATGTGACCAGGTCGGAGGAAGATTTTAAAATCTTAAAATAATTTTTGTTTCTCTTTTTTTTTGGTTAATATTTATGGCGCTAAATCGACTATATTTATAGACTATAATACGCGGCCGTTTCCGAAGTACCTTGTGATAAAAGGTTACCCCTTTTGCGCATCCATTTATTAAAGATTTAATAAAGGTTAGATCAAAACTTTTACTTTTCACATTTTTCTTTGTCATATATTTTGAAGAGAGACTGTAAAAATAACATAGATAACTGCATTTATATTAATTAAATTTCTCAACATAAAATTATATTAAATATAAATTGTATTGATATTTCGTTCGTAATTATTTCAAAACTTGGATTCACACTAATATCCTAAAACAATATGCATTGGGATTTTTTAAAAATATCTTATGAATTTAAAAAGAAAAATGGAGAAAGAGAAAATTATCTAGCTAGTATGAGAGACTTAAAAATGTTGTAAAAAACTGATTCCAAATGTGTCATGCTATGAATAATTGAATGGTGGCTGAATAAAAGTTAAATTTATTAAAATATATTCTTACAAACTTATGTAGTTTCTAAACAGTAGTGATTCTCTTTTTTTTTGGTCAAAACAGTAGTGATTCTCATAAGTCAATTAGTTGAAAAATTATTTTAAAAATTTAGAATAATTGTTAATAAGATATTAATATATTTTCCCATTTAAAATAAGCAGAAATTTTTGTGCTTAAAACTTTATTTGAAAGATTAACCATAATGATGATGTAACATCCTTCAAAAGAGTTAGTAAACACTAAGCTTGGATCCTTGGTTTTTTGTTTTATCTTTGTTTTGTTTTATTTTCTAGATTTTGTTCAGCGACGTTTGATATAAATGTTGATAATGCGATTAGTATATTTTTTCCCATAAAATGGTAAGATATTAAAAAGTTGACAGTTAAAATGAGATCTCAATTATTGTATCCAGGCCTTCTTCGATGGAAGTCGTAGAGGTGAACGCTAAACACATGGAGAAGGATTGGGTCCACTAACATCCATAAAATATTATTCACCATGGCGAATTTTTCTTACGAGCCACATATATAAAATGATAGTATTATTTGTCAATAAGTGTTAATTAATCTGGTCCAGCCTGACATAAAATTCGACTAGTTCTAAAATGTTTAGAAAAATCAAGTTTATAAATGATAGATTGGTATTGAGTTTACCATAAAATTCGACTAGTTCTAAAATGTTTCGAATAATCAAGTTTATAAATGATAGACTGCTATTGCTAACTCAATCGGTTTATTAGATATCTAGTCTCAAGAGTAAATGTGCGAATGTCATTCACTAATTTGAGAGTTTTTATAATTAAAGATCAAGTACGATAAGAAAGAACCGTTCTTTAAAAAATAACAATGCGAAAGGTATTGCACTAAACCATTGACAATGCTATAATTTCCAACCGAAAACTATAAATTCAAGGTGACGTGTTTTATTATCAACCCGAAGAAACTATAAACCTAGAGCTTAAAAACTTGTAAATTGTAGATGATTAGTTAGATTTATCTGTAACTTTTTTGCTGTGGATAATTTTTTTCTTCTAACTGTATATATATATCTATTGCACCAGTAAAAAATGTAAAATTTGAAAGAAAAATAAATGACATTTTCGCTATATATGTTTTTTCTACATCATAAAAATAAATAAAGCTTTAGTAAATAGGAACTGTTTTTTTGTGTACTTTAAAAACTAACAAAATATGAATGTCAATTTTAAATGCTGTGGAAAAATTAAAGCTAAAATAGTTTTTACATCCGAACTAATCGCCCTAGATGTATACTACATAGATAATTTGCTAATTTTACGTCAGTGGCAAAACAAATTGAGCACGCAATGGCCGACCCCGTTCGTTTGTTAGGATAACCAAAGCCCTCTTAGTGATGGACATGTGTTATGTATAAATATATTATACGACTCTACTATACGCGGTTAGTCTTTCTTTTTAATATTTCAAATCAGACGACTTGGCTAAATGTACACAATTCATTCTTTGGATGCTTTATAATTCTACATAAGAGTATTTATCAGCTTACTTGTGTGAGAAGTAAGTCTCTTCATGTTATTTGTTAATAAGACAAAACTTTTGTTTTGATCACCAAAATTAATGTGATTAATTAATATATATACCTTTGTTTTGATCACCAAAGTTAAAATGATATTGATATATATCACCAAATTTAAGTAACTAATATACATAATCATTTCAAACTAGATTAATTATTTAGTTTTTAATCTGTATTTATTTAAATTTTATAAATATAAGCGATTGTTCTTTTTCTTAATGATTGATTTTATAAAAATATAGATGAAAGAAACCTATAAGGGTAATTGTAGATTGAAGAAACCAATTCAAGTGGTATCAACTATTTGCAAGTTCTGTATGATAAGCTTTTTTATGTAACAAGTTTTTTATAATATAACTCGGTAGTTCTAATTTGTAATAAAATTAAATTTTACCACCTTAAAAAAATTACCACCGTAAAGAAATCTGACTTGGGTAAATATATTTTCAATAACACACTTGACAACAATTCAAAAATGAACTACTTTACATTTTTTGCAAAGTGTAGTCATACCATAAATTACTGCGCTCAAATACAATATATGTTTAGAATGGAATAACTGCCAAATTGCCAATATGGATAAAATCAGTCATTAAAAAAAATTATCTTAGGGGAGTTAGTGGAACCTTAATTTCAATAGAATTTGTTTAATTTTAGTATTTATTAAATTTTCATATAATTTAATGCATATAGTTTTGTGTAATTATATAAGGTGTTGTCAAGTTTGTAGAGAGTTGTGTGTTTAGAGAACCATCAAAATTATGCAACAATTTGAATATCTTAAAATATGTCTAGTATTCTACAAAATGGAATTTAATGAGTTAAATTATTAAGAATCGCAATCCCATTAATTAATAAAATTAAAAATGAATAGAAATCAAACTTTTTAAAATAACGAGATAAAATTGAAAAATCTGTAAGACAATAACAATTGTATAAGACTTATAACCATATGCAAAAGTCCAATTGCCACGACTCCTTTTACTTACTAGAATTTCAGGATTATATCAACATAAAATAAAGTTCTGTTCAGTTTTTTTTTTTTTAAATTCGTCATGTTGTATGATGTCCGTACGATGATGATAGCTTCGCAATGCATTCTTAAACATCCAGAAACGTCTGCTCACGTCTTCTCAAACCCTGTCAAATGGTAGTATCGCAAGATTTAAAAACGAAAACAAAAAGTCAATATTTAAATGTTCAAAAAAGGTCAAAATTTATACGACTTATTTATTTTTGTTATAAAAGACTTTGGCGTCAGAAAAATAAGAAAAAACAAAGACTGACTTCACATCATGCAAACCTTCCAAAATCATTAGCATTGACAAAACTGAAAAAACCCCAATTATTGGGAACTTATGATCAGAGACAAAAATAATTATAACTTTTATAAATTCATCACAAGGTATGTCATGTACATACTACATAGAGTTTACTGTTTACACTCTGTTTGAAAGCTAACCAAATATTGGTCGGTTTTGACTGGTACAGCTTACTCATTTAGGTCCGGTTAAGTAACCGTCTGAATAGTGAATCGTATCATCTGCTTTTCTTCACCATGCATTATCATCTATAAATTATTTACCTCACTACACTAAAATTAATATCTACTAAAACCCACATATTTGGCCAGAAATCATATTATTCGAACATAGATCAATTGATCATAAAACTAGATAATTCAGTTGAAGCATGTTATCAATTATTTCGTGAATACAGGAAATTATTCGATCAAGCTGTCATTTACCATGATATTTGGAATAATTAAATGTTAATGCAATGCAACTATATGATGTCATATGTTTTTTTTTTTGTTATTACGACATGGCATCCTGTAGTGCTACAACACGATATTTATAGTTTTATACGTGTATGTGATTTGTAAAACGCGATTCGATTAAATTTTGGTGGGCCATGTCTTATCATCTCAATATTCTATGCATCACAATTAATACTTCAACGACGAGTAAAATGGAAACAGTATCTTAAACAGTACATATATTTCCATAAATTTGCAACACGTTTTCGTCTATAGTAGCTAAAGGCTACGTTTGATATGAAAACATTCCAAAAATGCTAATAATTTGAAAGTGCATTTAATATCAAAATTAATTACCATAAATGTATACAAAAACTCTTTATTATCAACCCATGAAAAAACTATAAATCCCACTTTCAAGAAAAAACCCTAACTATATTTCACCCCTCTCTCTTGTCCTGTCATGGAAGAAGTAATAGAAACTTTACCGACTACTTTCTCGAAACCTAATGATCAATTTCAAAACCCTAACGTGCTGGTTACTCAAACCAAAAAGGAGTTGACAACACCACGAGCTTCTAAAACCACTCGTGGTCGACAGAAGATAGAGATCAAAGAGATCAAAGAAGACAGCAAAAGACATGTAACGTTTTCGAAACGACGCCGTGGGCTGTTCAAGAAAGCCGCTGAGTTAAGCGTTTTGACCGGTGCAAAAATCGCTGTTGTAACGTTCTCTAAGTGCGGTAGGATCTACACCTTTGGACACGTGGACTCGCTGATGGACAAGTATCTACGCATGTTACCGGTGAACTTGGAGGTGTACTCAGGTGATGACTCAGCGGAGGAGGAAGGGATGCCGTGGTGGGAGAGGCCGGTGGAGAGTGTGCCGGAGGAGGAGTTGGAAGAGTACATAATGGCGTTGAGTGTGTTGAGAGATAAGTTAGGTAAAAGGATTAATGAGATGGGGAGTATTGTTCCTGCATGGCCAATCAACATGATGGGTTGGAAACCACATGAGATGGATATGCAAAGCATGGGGGATGTGACTGATGGGGTTACTCGATGCCATCTAGGTCAAAACGGATGATTAATTAGTGGTCACTAGTGAATTAATCATTCCTCTAATGAAGTTTTATAGGATTTGATTTTTTTTTTAGTTTTGTTGAGTTTAGTTATATGAATTCAGTTCATGCCATTCAGTTTAATTAATCCTTATTTTTCTTGTATTTTATTACTTTGAAAGTTAATCCATATTTTAGTTTTTGTTTATATTGGCAAGTTTTTTTTATATTCCAAAAAAAAGATGAATTGCACTTCTTTAGGGACAAGTTTTGCATCACACTTGACTCAAGTGAATAAAAAGCTAAGGGTTGATGTAAATATATCCCTTAGCCCTGATCAAAACTGAATTGAATTCATTTGATGAGCACTCAAGACAAAAAGGATTTGGCCAATGTTCAGACAAATGAGTCAGTAGCAGATTTCAGTTTCTGATGGCTTGGTGAGAGAATTTGTCATAGTGCGTATAAGAGACATGTTTGTGATGAATAAGGTTGCCAAGTTTTGCCAAAGATCTTTATAACTCATCATAGTATCATTGCATAAAAATTTAATCCAAAAATTTAACACAGCTTTGAAACAATAAGCAATTATATGATAGATGGAAAAGCATGGAAGAGTTCAACAATGTTTTAATATTATGGTTATTTTTCAAGAACATTACGTTTAGTTTAATCATTTAATTTAAAAGAACATAAAAGCTCTAGCTGATGCTCTCACACCTTAGTTTCTGACTCTGTAAACAGATTGTCACGGAAGGCATCTCCTTTTCTTGTTATTACTAAAGATTGATCATATGATTCATATCTTATATAGAGAGATCTTAAAAACAGAATCCCCTTAGTCGCGGAACTCATCCATGAAGCTCTTGTGGAACTCAGTGAGACGGTCTACAATTGCTGGAATCTTATCTTCTTGAGGAAGTATGGTGCACCTGAAATGCCATGTTCCCGGTACCTACATCAAACAGACAAGATTTATAACAACAGTTAAGTGAAGTTTTGGTTTGGTTCTTTGCAGAAAAAAAAGAAGCTTTTCTCAGTTTCAAACCTGTCTAAAGCCAGAACCGGGGACTACAACTATTCCTGTAGCGTTTAGAAGACGTTTGCAGTAGAACGCGTCTGGTGCAGTCTTTGCAGCTTCTGCAGCTGCAATCGCCTTTTGTGGGAGGTTAATGCAAGGGAATAGATACATAGCTCCTTCTGCTCTATTGCATGTTACTCCCTCTAACTTGTTCAAAGCTTCTTCAAGGGTCTGTGTGGTTGAACTCAAAACGCATTAAGACCATACAAATTTAAAATCATGCTTTCTGGTAAGTTCTATGTGAGTGGATAACCTTTGCACGTGTTGCTAAAGACGAGAGGATTCCCTCTTTCTCTGCTATGTATGAATCATAAGAGTCATCACCAGGCTGATTAAATTACATAAAAGTTGTTAAACTCAATTCTCATCTATGCGCAAGTTCAAACCACTTGGCTAATATAATAGATGTTTTGATACCTTGGGTGGGCTCATGACGAGGCTGGCGAGAATTTGACCAGAGATGTTGGAGCAAAGATTGACAGAAGCCACTTTGTATATCTGTTCTCTAACATCAGAAGTGAATCCGGTAACCTCCATGTAACCGCCTCTCTTTCCACACTCTCCGTAGTACCCTATTGGAAAGGAGTCCAGTATTGAGACATAGCAATGATTCAAAAGCTTGTAAATGAACTAAGAAAGAACTTATTTTCAAACCTTTGGAGATAGATTGGAACGAGACTAAGGAGATATCTTTCTCACCGTAGCCCATAGACCGGGCTACTTTCTTGAAGGAGTGGAACTTTTTGTCAGGGACATAAACGTTTTCTTGATAAACCTCGTCTGCTAAAAGAACTAAGCCTTCTTTCTTACAGAAATCAACAACGTCACGCTGGTTTTCTTCAGAAAGAACCTTTAACCAGAAAAAAAACAGCAGTCTAAAATTCAGACAAACTGTAAAATTTGGATGTGGTTTAGTGTTGAAGATCTAGTTTACCTGTCCTGTAGGGTTACCAGGGTTAATAACCGCCAAGGCTCTTACTGTGATGCCTTTTGACTTAGCATCCTCAAGTTGCTTCTTCAGCTCAGATATTTCAAGACCCCATCCTGATGCTTCGTCAAGGTAGTATGGAACCTACCAGAAGAGATGACAACAATTAAAAGAAAGAAAAAAAGAAACTCGGAAGAGTCACTATAGACATGCACCAAAGAGACATAAGGAACATACCAGACTTCCGCCGTGAAGGGCAATAGAAGCTGAGTACAATGGGTACTGAGGAATAGGGCAAAGGATTCCATCTTTCTCTGAACTTATGAGGAGTTGCATCATCATATGAACCTATAACGAGAGTAACATTACTAACCTTTTTTATGTAAGTTCTACAAGTTTAGGGAAGTTTGATGATAGTTACCCCAGGGCTTGCACCATCTGTCATGAAGATATCATTAGGATCAGCAGGGAAACCATCACGAGCTTCAATTCCAGCAGCAATTGCATCACGTAGTCCCTTGATACCCTGAGACAAAGCAGAGTATTAAGAGAGGTAAACATTCACTGTTTAAGATTGAGAATGCCACAAAACCTGGCTGTGGCTGTAAGCACCGGTAGCTTTCCCAGGAATTTGGTCGAGAATCTTCCAAGCACGGTCAATAGAATCGGAACTGATGAAAAATTGCAACATCTATTGTTAAACAAAATCTTACACCACCACACTGTAGTGAGGTTTAGAACATATCAACCACTTTTTTTTTGGTACCTGAACAAGCCATGTGTTGCACTCTCGTCCAACAAAGCTGTGTGGGAACACAAAGCAAGAACCTGAGACAATGAATCTTACAAGTTAACTCATGACTTAACACACGGAACAAAACCAGAAGTACCATCAAAGAGCAGAATTATTTACCTCTCTGAAGAATGTTATAGGCTGTTGGCCAAGAGACTGAGGATTTCCAATATTGCAGTAGATAATCTGCCAAACAGAGTAAATTAAAATCAAGTCTCACAACACCAAAAGGACCACATAATGATTAAAACATACTTCATCGAAGGGGTAAGCGTCCTTATTAGTCTTCAAATCATCTTGCAACCTCTGTGAAGTTGGAAGAGAAGAAAGCAATAGTGAGCAAAACAGTTTCAACTTTAGAAAAATACAATCTTTAGGACAAAGATGGTTGCTTTACCTGAGCAATGCTGACAATTTCTCCACGAACAGCATACTCACATTTCAGAACCTAAGACAACCCCCCAAAAAAGTTAGCACACATCTCACTAGAGTTAGCTGCAAGATGCATAACTACTATGTCTATATAAAGAAACTATAACCTAAAATATAATACGTAACAGATAATAAATCATTCAAGTGTCAGTGATCTCAACCCCTAAACATATGCTCAATAGACCAATCTACAAGAAACTAACAAAACAATACTAAAAAAAAACAAAACAAAACAAAACTGCACCTTGGGGTTGATGGAGTCGAGAGTAACGGGAAGAGAAGAGGATGAGTCAGACATGTCGGAAGCAGAAGAAGAAAAGAGACGTGGCGAATAAACAGGAGTAGAATCGGAAGCTGGAGAACGGAGAAGAGAGAGGAGGCGGAGGTTACTGTGATGATGAGGTTGACGACAACGACGAGTCTGATCAATGAGATTTTTGGCTTGGCTAATCACGAATCTCCGCATCTCTTTGATTTTAGGTTTTATTGATTTTCGATGGTTTTCTGCTCAAAAGACCAAACTTTCTATTCCTATGTTCGTCTCTTTCTTTCCCCTTCACACTGTTTTTGACAATTCCTTTTCCGACCATCGATTTTATGGAATTTTGCATTTAATTTTTAAAAAAAAACTTTTCAACTAATATTTATTTTATTTCATTTCCTTAGACCATGTACATTGAAGGATCATGGCCAAAGTTCACACAGTTTTCAAGAAGAAAATATATTAAAATAATGTTTTGCCCATGATCCTGTCTCTCTCCAGCTCTCTCCAGTGATCCCGTGAGGGGTGGAGTTCATCACTGTTTGGCGGGCCCCATGCCACGTGGCGGCCCGCTATTGGTCAATACAAATTTTTTTCTTTTTTTTTTTTTGCAAAATCAAATAAAAAAAAATAATAATAAAAAATTTCAGTTATGAACCCCAATGGGGGGTTCATTAATGCACATGGTCTTACTATCTTGTCAAAAATTCAGACTACATATAGTAGTCCAAATAATGCATATCTTACTAATTATTTTTCAATAGTCTCTAATTTCCAATGTAGGATGAACAATTTGACATAAACAATTTGTGGAATCTGGATTTTAGATTCGGACAAAACAAAACATATGTATGTTTTGGTCAAACAAAACCACGTGTTTATGTTCCAAGTCAACGACTAAAACGCTTGTTTTAAAATTGGATTTAGGCCATTCTAGGCCCAGATTACGGTTAAGTCTCTCTTCTGGCCCATGTTTGACTTTGAGGTTAGTTACAAATGAAGAGCGAATGATTTTGGCATTTTGCTATCAAATCATTAGCGAAACCTAGGCTATAAATGAGATAACTGTTAATGGGGAGGCTATGAATGTCTCAAAACAAAAAGATGAGTTCATATATTTCAAGTAGATTACAGCATTTAGAAACAAATCTAGTTACCTATTCTACAAGAAAAAAGAAACAAAAAGATCTAACAAGGAAAAGAGAAAGGCAAAATAATTTAAGATTTAAGGTTTTACTGCTGTAGTGATCTGATGTTTCCTACTTCCTTGAACAACTATAGGTATGTTGTACCTGATACAAAACAAGAACACTCTTGGTGTCAATTACAACTAAAGCTCTATATATGGGGTTGCATAAAAATCAAAACTGAAATGCTGTCTTTTGTTTTCTTTTACTTGTTCTGTATAGGGTTTGAGCCACTCTTTGGGATTCTTCGGAAGCTATCATTTTCTCCTCTAAGCGGCTTTCCTTCCTTCATCTCCTTGCTTGTATTCAAATCTCTCACAGCTTGACTAGAATGTGTCATCCTTAACAGAGAACGTCCCTCTACGGTGTGCTTGTTGCTAAAGAAAGCTACAAGTAGCAGAAGAACCAGAGCCACTGACTGGTATCTCTTCATTGTGGATTTTTCTTCTTTTAGTTCCTTTAGGAATCTTGAAAGCCCTTACGTTGTTCTTGTTGTCTTCTGAGAACTGTAACTTTGAGAAAATTTTGGATAGAGATGTGAGTTAGAGAAAGAGAGGAGAGACTTGTGTAGGTTGTTGCTATATAGTATAGAATAGGATTATTTTTTGTTAGTGTTGGAACACATAGTTATGGGGATCTGATCACGTGATCTTACTTTGACTGATGTAGTTAAATCATATGGAGAGATAGTTATCTTTAATCTTAATCATTTACTTGGCACTTACACATACTATATACAATTATCATATGTAGAGACAAAGGATCCACATTACCTAACTCATGTAAATGCGTAGAAGTTTAGAGATGGTGGTCATGTGATTAGAGCACGTGATTTTCTGTCAACTGTTTTTGGGGAACTCAAAAGAGGCTGAAACTTAACTTTGTTATATGTTTTTTAATCTTGAAGTTGTGAATACATAACTTTGGAACTTGGAAGTATTTGTGTAAGTCCAATTTTCAGAAACAGATAGTTGCAGGTAAACCAGCTGTTTTGTCTCTCTTCTAATCACTACTTCTCTTTTTCCTCTTGCAATATTGTATTATGTATTGCTTTTGCTGTCATTTGTGTTTTTAATTCATTACTTTAAATGTAGAGAAAAAACACAAAGAAAAACTTTTTTGACCAAGTGAAAATATTCGATTGGAAGAACCGGCGCAGATTCTTGAGATAGTAGCTAGAGATATCCTCAAGTGGAAACTAAAGAAATAGAGAAAAGTGAACTAGGCTATTTTGATTTTATAAATTGACTATAAGATATGAGAAAAAACATTAACTAGATTTTAGTGAACATAGTGGTTAGACTGGGTATTCGGGTTCAATCGGATTTCAGTTTGTGTCTAGTGGGATTTTGGTTTACGAAAATCAATCACATTTAGATATTATTAAAATTTAATTCGGATTTAGTCGAATTTGGTTCAGATTTAGTAACATGCACAAAAACCAATTCTAGAATACTAATTTATATTTCATTATATCTTATAAAATACTTAATAATGTATTCAAGTAAAAAAAACGTATCTGAATGTATTATAAAGTATGTTTTAGTGTTATATATAATATATGTTAACTAAACGTATATGAGTGTAAATCAACTTGATATAAATTGATATATATTTAAATCATACATAATGAAACATAAAATATTAGATTTAATAACTAACAATTCTATAAACGTAAAAAGAAAAATTTAAATTTAAAAATAACAACATTGTTTAAATTTTAAAACTAATTTATTTATAACTAAACACATAGAATATTAATATAACTAAATAAAATATATATTAGATTGAATATTTGAGTTAATTATTCATATAATAACTAATTATTATAAGTATTCAATATTTCACGTGTTTGTATCCAAGTTTGAAGTTTAACATTAGATATGGTAAAAGTTTTTTTTTTAAGACTTTGAAATTTTGGGTTTTGGAATATCTATTGAAGTTCGGATTCAATTCGGGTTAAACTCATAACCTAAAATACTGTAAAACAATATACATTTGGTATTCATGTCAGATTTGAATCTGGGTCGAATTTGGTTAGGACTTTTGAGTTTGGTTTATTTGCCATGTCATAATACAGTAGTTGGCTTACTACTAAACGAACCAGAATGAATGAATGATTGTATACAATATTGTGGAATTTGGTTCGGTTTAGCTAAACCAACCCAAAGTTTGGGTATTCTCTGATATCTCTAATGTGCTGGAAAGTTTAATCATTTTTCTTGTTCTTGGATCTAGTGATATCTTACTTAGGGATTCTCTTGCTGCATTTCATTTTGATGTGATTTCTTTCGTCTTTACGCGTCTCTGGGTAAGTGGATTGCAATTCATTCTCTTTCGGATTGAGAAAGTATTTTTTAGGGTTCTATGGTATTGATCAAAGAAATTGGAGTTGATTCGATTTGGGTTTGTCTAATAACAAAGGGGCTTTATATTTTTTTTCTTCTTGAATTGGCTTGAAAGCTCATAGATTTTGGGGATATTCTTGTTGAAAGGTGTGTCTTTGGTTGATTCAAGTTTCATTTGATCTTGTGTGTGTGTGATCATGCTTGTTCAAATTTTTCTTGTTCCTGTGATAAAAATGTCCAAACTTGACTTGAAGCTAGTTCTTCATAATCTGTTGATTGTAGGATAAACTCCATCTATTTGCTTTATTTTTCATTTTCATTTTTTTTTGGGAATTTCAGACATCACATATGTAAATTCAGACCGTTGTTGTTCCTCTAGGTTTTGGATTCCTTACTATCTTCACTTAGTTTCTGTCCTAAGATAGAGTTAACCTTTGATGCCTCAGATTCTGTTTGGCTTTCAGTGAAATGCTATTTGGCGAGTGAATTACTATGTTTTCTTTTTTCTCTTTTAATTCTGTTAGCTGCTGGGCTTTCACTCTAATATGTATATTTTGTTTTTTGTTGATGATCTTAAACGTATTTTAACAGTAGCTGCAGTTATTCACTTAGTCCATAGCACATAGATGGCAGAAAAGGCTTGTATTAAACGTCTCCAAAAGGAATATAGAGCTCTTTGCAAGGTACGACACTTATCTTTATGCTACTTCCAAATCTTTTGAGCAGGAATCTTGATTCTTTAATTTTTCATTTGCAACCACTTTTCTGTGGACTTTTCAAATGTTCCTTTACATGTGATTAAGTTTCATATTTTCTTCTGTCTCTTTAGGGGTTACTAATGATATCTTCTGTTTTTGGGCCTTTAGGAACCAGTCTCCCATGTTGTGGCTCGTCCTTCCCCAAATGACATTCTCGAGTGGCGTAAGCCTTTTCTATCTCTTTTTTGTATTATTTTTGTCTATGTTTCTCCTACTGGATCTCTCGTAATCCTATTGCAAGATTTTCTATGATGGTGTTAGGATGAGGTTTATTTGATGGACATATTTAATTGTGTACTTGGGGATCTACAAGAAACTATGAAACAGTAGGTTACTATGATGAGGCTAAACAGAACAGGTCACACTGTATTAATTACTTATGAGTCGTTGATTTAATAGTACTAAAGATTAGTTTATCAAAGGTTTATAATAAGTTTAGCACAAAATTTTGATATTTTTCTTCTCAATTGTGTACGGTTGTCAATGTTACTGTTAGCCTAATTGTGGTCAGAGATGGAACAGTTGAATTTTTAAAAAGGTTACTAACAAATAGTTGAATTGTTGGCGAGGATCTTACAGATTATGTGCTGGAAGGTAGTGATGGAACACCTTTTGCAGGTGATACTCTTCTTCCTGAAGTTTCTTGTTAGTTTTTTCTTCTGCATCCCTTCTGAGTATCTAACGTTGATACTTGAATTCTACTTTAACAGGTGGATACTACTATGGAAAGATCAAGTTCCCTCCAGAGTATCCTTACAAGCCACCCGGAATTACGTATGTTCCTTTGTTCTTCAGAATTTTCTCTCAGTATTGCTCTTATCTCGGTTTATAGTCCACCTTCCTATTAGCCTTTTTTTCTTTGTTTGCCTCAGAATGACTACACCAAATGGTCGATTCATGACACAAAAGAAAATATGTCTGTCTATGAGTGATTGTAAGCTCGATGGTTCACTTTCTACTTGTTATTTCGTTGCAATCAAGTGTTTCAATATCTAAGTAACTTTCACATGATAATTTTCAGTTCATCCTGAAAGCTGGAATCCAATGTGGTCCGTTTCAAGGTATAAATTCTTTTAACAAATACTAGAAAAAAAGGTAAAGATCGATATACCTGTATTAAACCATTTCTTTTCCTTGAATGCAGCATACTTACAGGACTTCTCTCATTTATGGTAAGCTCATACTACAGATCTATTGTAATGGTGCTTACTAGTTTTACCATCTGATTATTGAGGATGTTATTATCGTCTTAAATCTGTTATTTAGCTTTCTCTAAACGTTGTCCCATCAATGCACAGATGGATACCAGTCCGACAACTGGAAGTGTGAACACTACTGTAGCTGAGAAACAACGGTTGGCTAAATCATCTCTCGCTTTCAATTGTAAAACGTAAGATCTTCCCACCATCAAAACTTTACCAAATTCTGGATTCATTTATTCACTTGAGTCCGATGTTCTTTACTTGTGACAGGCCAGCATTCCGGAAGCTATTTCCAGAGTATGTAGAGAAGTACAACCAGGAGCAGCTAGCTGAGCAAGCTGATGCGCAACAGACGACACCAGAGTCTTCTCAAGAGAGCAATACCAAAGCTGAGTCAGAGAAAGCAGTGGAGCCAAGAAAGGAGGACTCGGAGGGTGGCTTGCAGGAGAGGAGGAAGAACAAGAAACAAGGATTACCAGCTTGGATTATACTGTTGCTAGTGTCGTTTTTCGGTGTTGTAATGGCGTTGCCTTTGCTTCAACTGTGATTTCTATGCAACAAAAAAAAAAACATAGAAATGGACGACCCTTGAGATAAAATATCAAGAGTAGTCGTCTTCTGTCTAGTGTCCTTCCTTCTGAGTTTAACTCAATTTACCCCCTCATGGTTTGTGCTTGTAAAAGCTGATGACATAAGCTTGGTTTCACATGTTTTATATATAAATATATAGCTTTGTTTGAACTTGCTTTGTGTAGCATAAGAAGAGGCCAATGGCTGGTTATTTGTCAAGCTCAAGCTTCAAACCCTCTTTGCCACCATGAATCCAAGTATTAGAGAAAATTGAAGGAACCTAACATGTATACCAAGCCAATTCAATGCATAAACCACCATTCCCTGAAAAACCAGTTCATGAACTTGAGGGAAGACTAAGAGAAGGTAATCCTGCCCAAGCAGTGAGTTGTTGAACTTCACTTTTCTACTTAACGGTGATTGACTTGCAACCAATTTTGTTCGGCTTGTTGAGTTACAGCTCAAGTTATGTTAATTCAAACTACTTCGCTCTGTCTAGCACCTTCCTCATTGCCTAAGACTTGTGGCCCACGAAATCATATGATTATTTTTAATGATGAATTTTTCTCATACATAAAGATTGCAGGGATGAGAAGTTGAGAACATCCACCAAAATTAACTCTCAGTCACTTATAATATTATTTCGAATTTGCAACAAAAGAAAGAAGAACTGAAAACATAGGAAACTTGGATTTTATAACCTGAAAATAAGCAAAAAAGGTCAGGTAAAACGTAGGACTTGGTCTTCTCTTTAAATAAAATTCAGTGAGAGATAAAAGACTTCAAAAAAACTTTCAGTCTTGATCAAAGTAATCAGATATACAATAGTAGCCTCAGTACAAATAAACATATCAATAAAAAACATTTGAATGTGTTGACCATTTGCTTTAACTGAGAAGTCTTCTTATGTTTGGTCAGGCTATTTCCCCTAGTCAACGCTAGTATTTACCAATCTTCTCTATCGATTACTTCTCTTGTTCTTGTTCTTCTTCTTACCACTTCTCACCATTGTTTATGAAAACATGAGATCCAAAGGAAAAAGCTATGTGAGGTCTTCATCAACAACAAGACCAATACAGCCTCTTAGTTTTCACATGCTTTACTTATTCCTTCACTGCTTTCTTTCCTTCCATTTCCTCTTTCTTACAGTTTCAGAAGCTGTCTGCAACCCCCATGATCAAGAAACTCTCCTGTGGTTCTCAGGTAACGTATCTTCTCCTGTCTCTCCTCTGAAATGGGATCCATCCGTTGACTGTTGCTCGTGGGAAGGCATAACCTGCGATGATTCACTAGATAGTCACATCACCAAGATCTCCTTGCCATCTAGAGGACTCTCTGGCAATCTCACTTCTACTCTTCTGAATTTCCATAGTCTCTCTCATCTAGATCTTTCTCACAACCGTCTCTTGGGTCCTCTCCCACCAGGTTTCTTCTCATCCCTTGATCAGCTCAAAGTTCTTAACCTTAGTTACAACAGTTTCAGAGGTGAGTTACCACTTGAACAATCATTTGGAAATAATGGAAGCATCATGTTTTTCCCTATTGAAACCATTGATCTCTCAAGCAATCTTCTCCAGGGAAGAATCTTTAATAGTTCTAAGTTTCTCCAGGGTGCTTTCAACTTGACCAGTTTCAATGTTAGCAACAATAGTTTCACTGGACCACTCCCTTCTTTCTTGTGCAAGAGTTCATCACAGCTCAGGAAACTGGACTTCTCCTACAACGATTTTAGCGGTTCCATCTCCCAAGGACTAGGCAAATGTTTTAGGTTAAGTATTATTAGAGCAGGTTTCAACCGTCTCTCTGGAGAAATCCCAAGTGACATCTACAATCTTTCCAATCTTGAGCAACTGTTTCTGCCATTTAATCAGCTTTCTGGAAAGATCAATGATGAGATCACCAGCCTCAAGAAGCTTACCTCACTGGAGCTTTACTTTAATCTCCTTGAAGGAGAAATACCAAGGAGCATAGGCAACCTCTCAAACCTAAGGAGCCTTCAGCTCCATACCAATAACCTTAGTGGTCATGTCCCACTTTCTCTAGCAAACTGCACCAATCTTGTCAACTTGAATCTGAGGGTCAATCATCTAAGAGGAAGCTTAACAGAGCTTGACTTTACTCAGTTTCAGATTCTTAGCGTTATAGATATTGGAAACAATAGCTTCACCGGTGATCTCCCTGAGAAGATTTACTCCTGCAAATCACTCACAGCAATCAGACTCTCAGGAAACAAGATAACTGGACAAATATCTCCTCAGATACTGAAACTTAAGTCCTTATCATTCCTATCTCTTTCTGACAATAAACTGACAAACATTACAGGTGCTCTCAGCATTCTACAGGGATGCAAGAAGTTGTCCACTCTCCTGGTGGCACTTAACTTTTACAATGAAACGTTTCCAAGCAATAAAGATTTAATATCTCCACATGGATTCCCTAAACTCAAAATCTTTGGTCTTGGTGGGTGCGGATTGAAAGGTGTAATACCTTCTTGGCTGATCAACATCAATAGCTTAGAAGTGTTGGACTTGTCAGTGAACCAACTAGTAGGTTCAATTCCTGGTTGGTTGGGTACTCTTCCCAACCTTTTCTACCTCGAACTTTCAGACAACCAGCTTTCAGGACAACTTTCAAAGGATATCTTTCAACTAAAGGCTTTGATGTCCCAAAAGGCCGATGATGACACAGACCGAAAATCTCTAGAGCTTCCTGTCTACGTATCACCAAGCAACGTTACAAAATATAAACAACAATACAATCAGATGTCCAGCCTCCCATCTTCCATTTACATCAGCAGGAATCACCTAACCGGAAGTATACCAGTAGAGGTTGGGAAGTTAAAGGCTATTCAAAATCTGGATCTTTCTTTTAATTATTTGTCTGGTGGTATTCCAGATGAGTTGTCCAACTTAACAAGGTTAGAGAGACTGGACCTATCAAACAATAATCTATCTGGTAGAATCCCTTGGTCGCTGAGGCGCCTTCATTTCATGTCTTACTTCAGTGTGGCTTACAACAATTTTGAGGGGCAAGTACCTACGGGAGGTCAGTTTGACACTTTTATGAAATCATATTATGAAGGAAACGCTTTGTTGTGTGGTGGTATACTGCTTAAGCCCTGCACAATTCCAACTCAGCCACCTTCTGCAAGTGCAAACCAAGATGAAGAGGAGTTAAGCAGAACAATCTTCTTGGGGCTTGGCATTGGGTACTTTTTTGGATTCACTTCTTTCTTAGTGGTACGTGCTTGCTCCGCAGATGTTATATAAATAATGTGAGCAGAGAAAGATATTGTATCTATGTTATTTATGTATATGTATACTACCGTGTGCAGAGAATCATCGAGGTTTTGACACTTCTGTTGGGGACTGCTCTATTCTTTCTTCCAAAATATTTTTTATAAACGAACTTTTTTTTAGTATTTAGCAAATATTATTATTTTTTATTTATTTTTTATGTTTTTATTTTAAAAACATAATATAATTTAACAATATTTTTTTAATATCAAATATTAAATAACACCATCTTATTGGTTGGTGAATGTTCACCTTAGTAAGTGAAAGCAAGAATAATTCTACTTTAAATGTCTACGCTCAATGTATCAGAATCTTCTTCCGTTCTCTTCCCACCGATCAAGATAAAAAGAAAAAAAAAACTAAATACCATTTAAGCATTTCTCCTAATGTTACAAACCTGAGACATAATCTTACATAGATCATAATGTTTGTGTTATTATGCTAACTTGAAATAGAGCATAAATCAAACAGAAAAGAACAGAACTACTCGATTCCCTTTTTCTTCTTTATCTCAGGAACGAGCTTAGTGATCTTGTCAGAATCAGGGAGAGACTTAGCCACACTGCCTCTCTTCACACACCTCTTAGCCCAAGCAATAATTTGTGGACACTCTGCTTCGATGCTAAAGTTCCCATACTTCTCAAAAGCGTCGAACCAGCAGTAGAATCCAATCAGAGCTATGTCCACATAACCACATGTTTCGCCTCCAAAGTAAGTCTTGTCTCCAAGCTCGGACTCTACAGTCTTGAGCATCTCTATGAACTCCTTCCCAGCCTCTTGCTCCTCAAATTTCGCTCCCCACATCAACTTCGCTAGACCCGGCACCTAACCACATATACATTGTTAACAAAATTAAACTAAATAGTAACGTTTCTTTCCTTTTGATCTTTATAACGTTTTTTCTTTTACCATTTTGTCGATGAAATATCCCCAAAACTTGGCTTGAGCTCTTTGGTAAGGATCAGAAGGAAGGAGTGGGTTTTTACCTGGCCAAGTCTCGTCGATGTACATGACCTGGATAAGAGATTCACAGACTGGTTTGCCATTGTGGATGAGAACCGGTATTTTCTTGTGAACCGGGTTCATCTCGAGGAGCAAGGCACTTTTATTACACAGGTCTTGTTCTCTGTAGTCGAATTTGATGTCTTTCTCCTCTAGAGCAATCCTTGTCCTCACTCCGAACATACTCGGCCAGTAATCCAGAAGAATCACCTCCTCCGTCATTGTTGCTCTTTGATTAAGCTCACTGAGATATTTTATTTGTTTTGTGTCTTTAAAGTGTATGGTGAAGAGAAGCAAGGTTACTGTAATTATAGAGGATATGCCCAACAATAAAGAGCATGAATCCACAATTATTTTTAAAATAAAATTGATATGGTCTGTAGTGAAAACTTTTAAATAGTACTAGTACGTAAGTGGGTTTTTTCTTTTGCAGCTTTTTTTTTTTTTGAGAAAGAACTTTTTTCTTTTGCAGCTTTGCTTAAAGCTAATGTAAAGTATGATCATAATACAATTATTTGGTATTAAATTGTAGCGAGGTATTAACCTGCGTCTTTTCTTAATGCTACTACAGCTGCATGGCTTGTTTAGTCATGGCTTGTTTAGTCATGCACTTAATTGATTTACTAGGTGTTTTGTCCGCACTTACGGACTTAATAATTTTCTAATATCTATAATCAATTTAAGTAAATTATAATAAATTATTGTTCATACACTTAAAATATTTAATAATAATCTAAACAAATTCTTTCTATATATAAAATTTTTCATTATCATATAAATTATTGTCATTACACAAATTAAATGTAAAAAATACTCATAAATTTAAAATATTTAGTAATAAATTAATATCATTTTTAGACATAAAAAACTATAATAAAATTATCTTTAGTAACGTAAACTATCTATACATAAATTTTTTGCGAATTATTTTTTTCATAATTAAATATATATTAACAAATATAATTATTTTTGAAGGTTAATAAAGATTTATAACACAATATAAAAAATAGATAAGGATAATTATCAAATTCATGAAATTCGTTTTAAATTTAGAATTAATTATATATTAACAAATATAATTATTTTTCAATGTTGATAAAGACATAATAAAAAAAAAATAAGGATGATTATCAAATAAATAAAATTCGTTTTTAATTTATAATTAATGATATATTACTAAAAGTATAATTATATTTCAAGGTTAATAAAGATTTTATAACCCAATATAAAATAGTTTTAGATAAAGATAAATCTAAAATCATTGAAATTCGTTTTTTACTTATGTTTAATTATATATTAAAATTTTTAATTATTATATAGTAATAAATATTTTTTTGGTAGTAATAACTATTAGTCATTATATAGTAATAAATCTAATTAGTCATTAAGTTTATGTTTGCTTTTGTCAGTAAGGGTAGTAAAAATCATAAGAACATGACAATTAGATTTACTATCCTTAATGGCAAAGCAACCATAAACTTAATGACTAATTAGATTTATTACTATATAATGAATAATTAGATTTATTATAATCTTTAGTCTAGATAATGGTAATCATCAAATCATAAGAAACATGACAAATAAGATTTGTTTCTAATTATTATATAGTAATAGATCTAATTAGTCATTATATAATAATAAATCCAATTAAGTTTATGTTTGTTTTGTCATTAATGGTAGTAAATGTAATTAATATACGGTTCATAATTATATAATAATAATTTTAATTAGTCATTAGTTAATGGCAATAATTAATCATTAGTCAAAATCATAAAAAATATGATAAATAAGTATAATTACATAAAATTGTGGAGAATATGATAAACCAGCAAATTCACTTTTTTAGATATAATTAATTTATTGTTATTTATATATTAATTTAGTTTTAGTTTATGGTTTATTAATATCAACTATTTTAGATAATAATAGTCATCAAATCAGTGAAATTTGTTTCTAATTTATGGTTGATTATATATAAATTAAATACATTTTCTGATAACAACACAATATATATAGAAATTATCTTTTTATTTTATTTTTAAATATATATTTAGATTATAGATAATTCTTATCATTATTATTAACTTAAATCATTTATCTAATCAAATAAATATAAATTAGTTTTATATTTTGGCTGATTTATATATTTTATTCAGTAAGAGTATAAACGATATTAACCACTCCAACTTTTAACGTGGGAGTTTCGTTGCGAAAAATCACTTCGCAAATTTAAATCATTTATCTAATCAAATAAATATAAATTCATTTTTTATTTTGGCTGATTTATATATTTTATTCATTAAGTGTATAAACGATATTAACAACTCCAACTTTTAACGAGGGAGCTCTGTTACGAAAAATCACTTCGTGAATAATAGTATAGATTACTCAGTTCAACTCAAAATGAGTAAGTAAAACTTTGGAGTATATTTTTTTGTCGACAAAGATGTCTAAAAATTTTGGTTTCTAAAGTTTTGTCTTGTCTAAAACATGCAATATTTCCTTTTTGACACAGCTGATAAAATTTCAAAATTTACTTGATCGATGTTATGCTGTATTACTATTATTATACATATAGTTATTTAGTCGAAGTATTATTATTTAACTCAAAATGTAATTCAACATTCTTTTTCTTTTAACATACAATCCATTATTAGTTCCACACCAGAACAACCCAATAGTTTGTGTATCTTTTCAGATAGATAATGGAATAAGTAAGAGCTGGGAACAAACGTCAAATATTGTGTAATATAGCGATATCCAAACTATCACTTTCACGTGCTNATACAATCCATTATTAGTTCCACACCAGAACAACCCAATAGTTTGTGTATCTTTTCAGATAGATAATGGAATAAGTAAGAGCTGGGAACAAACGTCAAATATTGTGTAATATAGCGATATCCAAACTATCACTTTCACGTGCTTTGACTATATAACTATATATATAATCTAACTTTTTATCAAAATTCCAAAAGTGTAATGGTTGAATGACGTCGAATAACACCTAATACAGTTACTTATTTTTGTTTGTTATAATCTCACAACTACTTTCTTTTTTTTTCTTTTTTTTTGAACACAATCTCACTACTACTTTCTTGAACCACTTTAAAAAGGTGGGCAGGTAGCCAGGTATGGTATGTCTTTCTTTCTTTTTGGCTGAGAGGCTTAAAAGGTATATGATAGGGCGGCATATGTTACATATACATAATCTCCGCTGCAACAATTCTGTTTCGGTTCAAATTTATTATTAAAAAAAAATCAACAACAATGTAAAAACAGATACAATAGATCATATATGATGTATATTAACTATCAAGTATAGCATCCACTCCTTAAAATACCGAAGTTCTGACTTCAAATATTATTTTAGGGCTCTTTTCTGTTCGATCTCATTTACCGAACTGAACTTTGGTTGATAATCACACAGTCACACTGTTTTTCAATTCGTGTTTTCAAATAGCCATTGACTCGTAACGCATTCAGCAACCTCAGACTTATTCGCACTATAAAATTTGCACATACACATCTAAACAAAAGAAATACCAAAACTGATTTGATTTAAGGACCAGTTTGAATAGAACGTTTTATATTGGACTTAAAGTACCCGCCCCGAATCATTTTCAGAACTGATATTGTTTTGCTTTTATTTGAACAAACATGTTTTGATACACTGAAACCTAACTACTAATAACTAGACATTTTAATGAATCATAATCTTCTTCAGTTTTTTTTCCACCACAATCATTGAAGCATTTTTCGTAATGAAACCACTGAAGGATGCTTGTATTATTATGATGACTTTAAACAAAGCAGAAACAAAACAGAAACCGAAAAGAAAAGAAACATAAGACAGAACATATATTATATTATAACAGATCTTACTCGATACCAATTTTTTTCTTTAGCTCAGGAACAAACTTAGTGATCTTGTCTGAATCAGGAAGAGACTTAGCCACACTCTCCCTCTTCATGCACCTTTTAGCCCAAGCAATCAGCTTTGGACACTCTGCTTCAATGCTAAAATTCCCACACTTCTCCAAAACATCGAACCAGCAGTAGAATCCAATCAGAGCTATATCCACATAACCAAATGTTTCACCTCCAAAGTAAGTCTTGTCTCCTAGCTCAGACTCTAGCATCTTGAGCATTTCTATGAAATCCTTCTTCCCCGCCTCATGCTCCTCGCCTTTCGCTCCCCATATCAACCTCGTTGGACCATACACCTAAACTCTAATAAAAGCTTGAATATTTAATGTATGTTTTAATTACCTTTTTGTCGATGAAATCTCCCCAAAACTTGGCTTGAGCTCTTTGGTAAGGATCAGTAGGAAGAAATGGGTTGCCCCCTGGCCAAGTATCGTCGATGTACTCAACTTGAATGAGAGATTCACAAACCGGTTTACCATTGTGAATGAGAACCGGGATTTTCTTATGAACCGGGTTCATCTCGAGGAGAATGGGGCTTTTATTGAATAGGTCTTGTTCTCTGTAATCGAACTTGATGTTTTTCTCCTCTAGAGCAACCCTCGTTCTCATTCCGAACATACTCGGCCAGTAGTCAAGAAGAATCACCTCATCAGACATTGTTGCTCTTCAATTAAACTTCACTGAGATATATGTGTTTGTTTGGTGTCTTTAAGTGTATATTATGGATGAAAGAAGCAAGGTTAGATCATTTTATATAGAGGAGATAGTCAACAAAAGGAGATTGAATTGATTTTTGCTTCCTGGTTTATTCTGAAATGCATTAACTTTCGCATTAAAATAGTTTCCAAACAAACAAATAAAATTCATACTTAAGCAGTTTAATACAATGAAGTTGACTTGACTGAACATATCCTTTTCATTAGCTTTGACATTAAAGTCAGGGATTGAGAAACATTAATGTCAGAATCTCTGACATTAAACGTTAAAGCTAGTGAAAAGGAAACGTTCAATGTATTCAAAAGTTTATTCCCTTCTTGCATGCTAATGAAAATATTGACTAATTAATTATTTTTGGTCAATAACTGATGAAGTTAATACAAAATCTGACTTGTTTAAACCATTTAAACTATTTTATGAAAAAGTAAATTACTTTTTCGATAAGGATGTGAATATCATTAATCAATAACTGATGAAGTTAATACAAAATCTGACTTGTTTAAACCATTTAAACTATTTTTTGAAAAAGTAAATTACTTTTTCGATAAGGATGTGAATATCATTAATCAAAATTGTTTTTGAGCCAACAAAACAATTTCAAAATAATAGTAATCCATCAAAAACAAGCGTGCGAACTCTAGTCACAAACTCCCAACCACAACGTCAGCCACTCTACT